TGATTTCTCTCTGAACGACTGATGGCAAGAGCTGGTGGCCCCTTCCTGGGTCACGGATGTGCCGCGCATGGTCTGTTTCTTGCTGACTTTCCTGAAGTACCGCCTCGGGGCGTGGTGTCAGGCGCCTTTGGTCCGACGTAGCTTGGCTGTTTTGACGTAGCTTGGCTGTTTTGCAGTCACGTCCTGCACTGTGGCCTGGAGGCTGAGCATCAGCACATCTGCGTGTAGCTGTGCTCTGTGCTGGAAAACCTTCCCAGGTTAGGAGCAATAATGATGAAACTTAGGCAAAGGAAGCATGCAGTCCGTGTATTTCAGCTCTGGTCGTCGCATATGCTGGAATCTCCTTGCTTTAGTAACTGGAAGAGTCAAATCAAACTATTTCTCTGAACTATGCTCTGAACTATTCTTACAGGACTTCTCTGTGCAACGTGTGCCTCAGAACGTTTATTTATTTTTTTTTAATTAACACTTGTCTGGCCTGTCCTAAGGTTATGTTAGGTGGTCCTAAGACAGGCAAGTAAGTTGCAAAGGAGTGGGAATGTTTAAATGTGCTGAGCTATACTGACAGAAACATGTAAAATACTGTTCAGAGTGTAGGAAAAATAATACACATGACATGAAGTAAATATTTGATTGTATATGAGAATTAATTTCTTCAATAGCACTCCCTATACCTTTGTAAACACTTCCGTAGCCATTTCAGCAAAAAGGCTTTAGTGATCTGTAGCCTCATAGACATGTGTCTCATAGAGTTGGAATGTTGGAGTTAAAACATGCACACGGGGGTGACAGTATTTGTAACTGTTCTCTAGTTCAGGGAACGGAACAAGGGTGTGTTGCTTCTCTGATTGCTTGGGACTAAGCAGTACTGCTCAAGTTTTTAAAACACTTGCAAACTGCTGGAGTAGTTAAAACAAAGAAATTGAATAATTAATTTACCGAAAAAGATTGCTAGAGATCCTTAAATGTTCTTGGGCCAGGAAAAGGTGCTAAACTCATAGTTGAGCTCTTGACAATTCTTTATTTGAGCACTTTTTTGCCTTTTTGAAGTTTACCAACTCAGTTCTGAGTCATGGGGAAAAAACCCCAACTTTTCCATATAAGAAGATATCATCGATTGATCCAATCATAGAATGGTTAGGGTTGGAAGTATTTTGCTTTTTTTTTTTTTTCCCCCCTCAACTAAAGCTAATTATTGTCTTTATTTTTTTCTTTTTTGAGCATCAGCACCCCAGTCTGATGAAGGCTCTGATATCGATTCTGAACCAGATTTACCTTTAAAAAGAAAGCAGCGTCGTAGCAGGACAACTTTCACAGCTGAGCAACTGGAAGAGCTGGAAAGAGCTTTTGAGAGGACACACTACCCTGATATTTATACCCGGGAAGAACTTGCACAAAGAGCCAAACTCACGGAAGCTCGTGTCCAGGTATGTGTTTAAAAGCTACCTAACAAAGAGAATTTCCTTTTCCCTAAGCATGTTGGGTCCTTTTAGATCCTCACGTGAGTTTGAAGCCTTACGGTTTTTGCATCTGTGTGTAGACATTGCTTTTCCAACTGTTTAAGGCAACAACTGCTTTGAAAAAGCTTTATGTTTTCCTTAGTAATTGTTCCATACTTACTATGAATATAATACTGAGCCTTTGGAGAAGAAGGTCTGTTATCCCTATTTATTTTATGCATTTGACAGCACTGCATATAATCAAACCAACTGCTGGGCCAGTTTATAGTTATTTAACTGATTTCATCTATTGTTGTTGAGTCTTTCAGGCATTAACAGAGGAGAGAAAAACAGTTTTAAAAGGACAATGTGTCCATAGAGCCATGCGAGTGAGCAGGGTTACTGATGCACTATCTACAGTTTACTTTTAGGTTAGTTTTTGAAGTTGACTTGATTTAAACCCTGTAATATCTCTTTTTATCCCCGCTGTTAATTTAATTCAAAAGAAAATAAACTCTCAAATAACTGTTAGATTTTCACAACTTCTTGTAGAGCTATATTGTTTAAAACAAGCTAACATGCTGGAGGAGTAAACCATGGAGTTGATTTAAATTTAAAAAAGTGTCAACCTGGATTTTTAACTGTCCAAAAATGGGTAAATAGCAGTCAAATAATTCAGGAATAAACTGCACCCCGGAGGTCAGGTTCAGACTAGGACTTTCTGTGTTTCACAGCACAGAAGCACATCCTGTGAAATGTTTAATACCGCAGGCAGAATCCTCTGCTGCTCTTTCACTACTTGATGTCTAAGAGTTATTTGGAAAAGCCCGCCCGGTTTAAATCAATCCGAGTTGCACGTGTTCATAAGCAAATGCGCGGTCGGATGACAAGCAAAATGTTGTAGCTTGTGAATCTCACCAAGGAAGAGAAATGAGTGGTAGCTTGTGATCTAACCCAGGATACAGGTGAATTTGGTTGCTTTAGTGAAACTCTGTTTTTCTATTTAGGCCTTTGAAGACCAGACTGAGGCATTGAGACCCTGTAAACTGAAATAAGCAATCCAAAACATCCCTCTGACTTTTTAAGACAAGGATGTCTATTGCAGCATAGCTGTATTATTGAGTATCTGTCTTGAAAGGTCCAGACTTTTTCAGTTTTACTAACTAAACGTTTTTGAAGAAGACTTCACATCACATTTCTTCTGAGTGTTTGTTGTGACTGTGAGAGAAAATCAGATGTATGGATAAATTTGTCTGGAAGGCCAACTCAGTGGTGCATGACTCTCTTTCAGAGCTTCATATATAGACTAAGGCCAGGTAAGACCAAATTAAGCCCTGGGAATCATCCACGCACAAACGTAATAAAGATAACGTCCCACACAAGTTCTGTTAACAAGACAAATGCAATCTGGAATATGAGGTTTTGGGTGATGTTAGCTTCAGTGGAAAAATACCATAAAATGAAAAAGACCTTGTTTGTGCTTTTCTAAATCAATGACCCACAGCTAGAAGAAAAGCAGAACTCTCATTAACATAACAGCTGTCTTAATGTGGCTTTAACCCTGCGACTTTTTGCATTCCTTATGGCTTCCGTGGTTCCCTTGAGACACATCCTGTCTCACACCACTCCTATGATCTACAGCCTCACAAATTCCCCAGTACCTCTGACATATGGATATTTTACCTAACCCAGCATGGAAAAAAGTTCCCAGTCAATCAATGATTAAAATACCAGAACAAAACCTTTCTGGATTAAAGATGAGCTGGGGTTGAAGTAGCCAGCCTGTAGGCAGTTTCCTAGTGCACTCAATCTGTCTGGTACCCTTGAAGCCTGGCAGAGTGATTTAGCAGTGGATTAAGGGATACAGGATTTGCCTTATCAGCATTCAGCACCTCTCTATAGCCCCTTAAAATAGCCACCTATGATGGGCATGAAATAAAAGATGACCTGTGAAAAGAAAATAACCCTAAGAGACTGAGAGGGGCGGATAGCCATACTGATATAGCGTTCAAGCTTTCTTAGTCACTCTTCTTTTTTGGAAACAGTATGACAGAGATCAGAGATACCAAATTTTATATGGATATATACACAAAGGTCTCTCTGACTGCTTCCTGATCAAGCTTTATCTAAAAGAACTATCTCTTTGCAGCCTGAGTCCGGCTGAGCCCAGAAAACTTTCTTCTTCTCTGGAGCTGTAAGGACTGACTTTGTAGAGGAGTTTTACGTTGTCTAGGAAGTGATTTAATTGATTACAACTAGACTAACCTTGCTATTGCCTCAGTCCCTCCATGGACCACTTGCATCTCGTGGTTTGTTTTCTCTACCCTGCCGCCCCCGTGCTTCCCCTCTCCTCCTATTCCCCAAGGTAATCTCTGAACACCCGTGAAAGGAAGAGTCTTAAACCACCAAATCATCTATTTTCTCACTTTCCAACTGTTGAAGGGTAACCAAATGCATGTTTCTAAGCTGGTTGGTTGGAGGAGGGGGCAGGAAAAGTCGCCTCTGGGCTGAGATCAAACTTCGAACATTTCAGCCCCTAAGGGGAATTTTTTGAAAGCTACAAGCAACTGAAAACAGACTTTACACTGTGAATGTTATTTGTGTACTCAATTGTGGGGACAGGAAAGGCTTTTGGGGAAAGGAGTGTTGCAACAAACTGCACGTTGCAAGAGTCACAAGATGTGTAACTATAATCATTGTGAATACTTCAGCAGTGGGTGTAATAAGAAGTTAAAATACTGCCTGTAACTCCTCCTGCAGCATCTTTCCACTCCAGGACCACTTTGTCTTTCTCACTCGTGTTTGAGCCTAAGTGTCATATGGAGCCAGGACAACCTCTTCTGCTGCCTCTTCCAAAGGCACCTGGCTCTTCTTGCACGTTAAATGCAACAGGAAGAGGAATATTCTTCCGTCTTGTGCAATTCATCAGATACAATTCAGAAACACAAGTAGCGTCCTAAAGGATGGCCCTTTCTTAAAAAAAAAAAAAAAAAAAAAAGTAGTAATACCCTGGGAATGCGAAGTTAGATTCACATATTGTGAGTAAAAATCACCACCATGCAGTGCTTTACTGGTCCAGTTTAAAACCTCATTAAAACCATCATTAAGTTGCAGTGCAGGCTCTTAATGTCGCCTATTTTTACTGACTCAGTCTGAAGGCAAATTTTAAAAGTGAAATTTTCCCCGATGTAGATAAAGATCAAAGGCTGTTTCTGAGCTTCAGAGTGGTGTGGTTGCGGTTTCCGTAACAAATAGTGCATAAGGAATGAAGTGGGTAGCATCTTCTATGGCCACCTTTTGATTCCCACATCAGGCTTATTTTTAGACCTGGGTGAGCTTTGGCAGCAGCTTGGGGCCTGTTTCAGATTGATGGTAGGATGTGTTTAACTCAATGTCTCAGCAAAGGATTGTTAAATAAGGTTCAGGCTTGTCCTGTGGCAGGTGGAGGACCAGGAGCCTGCCTTAGCCGATGGGAACTGGCCGGTCAGACAGATCCTTTTGGGCTGTGTGTTGAAAGCAGGCCTCTCAAATCATCAGAAACGTGATGTGAGACTTGCGTGCTGGACCGTGTTGAGGATGTGCCTCCAGCTGTATGGGATTGTGCGGGGCAGGAGGTCCTGCCGTGAGAAGCGGTTGGCACACAGCCTTCCTGCTTAACCCTAAAAGGCAAGAGGGAAAATTAGTTTGAACTGTCTTAGTCCATGAATCATGGTGAAAAAGCAGGGGAAGTCAGGAAGAATTCTGAAATGTGAGTATGTTGTGTCCTGAAAAGACTCCTCTCTGCCAAATCCCAGGATTAAATTGATTTTCTTGAAAACTTCCAAAAAAGAAAAATTTTGTTTAACAAAAGACTATGTCTGAAAATTCAGGCAGATCTCTCCAGGCTGCTAGGATGGGATTGGATGTTCCCATGTCAAACTTGTAATCAGCTTGCAAGCTTCTGTAAAAAGCTTATTACAGCCTCAGCAAATAGACCGAGTCCCAAGAGCTCAGAAATCTTGAGTAGCCGGAAGAAAAAATTGTTGTGTTATTTTTTTTTTTTTTTTAAGTGCTGTGCTTGTGTATTATTTTCCTTGTTTTACTGTGGCACCAGGAGGGGAAGAGATGATTTGGAGAAGATAGTGAGGGGAAAGGTGAGACAAGAAATGATGACTCTTAAGCTAGTTGTAAGGTTTGAAAGCTCTGAAGTCCAATCTCTCAGCTTTAATAGTCTCTTCTCAGTAGCAAACAGTGAAAAGCATTCACTGGGAAATCATGGGGGAGGGAGGACCTGTGCCAAAAAAAAGTCTTTATTTGCCCTCAGCTCCTCTGAAATGGTTTGTGCTTGTACGCTGAACTGCACAGTCCTACAGGGAGATGGAGTGAAAGAATGTGGGACAGATTCAGCAACATTTAAGACCTTTCAGCAGATCTTTACAGTTATTCCTGATACGGTTTATGAAGAATTAATAGTGCCTTTTTTTGACATTATTGAGGTTTTATTTTTTTTTTTTCTCCCCTGGGTTAAAGGAGAAATTCTTATGGGTAAATTAGCCAACTACAAACATATGCAGGCCCAAAAAGACATTTGTAAATCTAAAGGAAAAGGAGGGATGTGATTTTGATTATCTTTTTCTGGTCCCTGCTGCCTAAGGGCTCAAATTAGTGGCGCTTTAATTTATAAATACACAGTTCAATTTGCTTATTACTCAATGTTTTGCAGAACTATTCAACTGCAGTGTTTTAAAAGTATTTGTGTAGAACTTAGTCAAAGTCTTTTCAAAGAAACCTGTGAGAGTTGCGTGTGCTGGATTGCACTAGGAGGTGGTTGAAATTTCTTGTTCCCTTTGTCACAGCCTAGGGGTTTTTGGCCTGCTGTTTTGTGGGTTTTTTTATTATTATTATTTTTAAAATTTGTGTGTTGTGTGGTATTTGTGTTTTTTTTTTTTTGCTTGCTTTAAAAGAATTAGGATTTCCATCACAGTGATAATTCTGTGCATACCGACCAG